GGGAGTACAACGGCAAGTGTCGCTCTCTGCATTTCTTCTGCTGTTAATGAGCCCTGGTGCTGCGACCCGAAAGGAATCCGCATTGCTCTCCCACCACCTTACTGATGAGGCGGTTGAGCAGGATTCGGGCGATCACCTTCCCCACATAACTTAGCAGGTTGGTGCCACAATAATTCGTGGCATATTGCTTGCTCACTTCTCCCTTGTACAGGTTAAGCAAAAAGGACATACTTCAGCTCAGCTGTCACATGATCTTCGAAGCACACATGTTTCATCGAGTGGTGCAACGCATGAAGAATCGCGCATCTGCCAATTTTCAGCACACGGCGGAATCCTGTCGGAACCGGCGCACATGCCGTTTCGCAGCTGATTAAGTGCTGTCTGCGTCTCATCCAGTGTCCGTGTGTCGGCAAGACACATTTTCATCTCTTGATGTTGCAGCCCGTGCAACATAGCCTAGTCAATCCCGTAACGGTTGTTCAAGAGACAGTCGAAGTGATGGCGACATATATGCGTAATCTCCGTAGCCGGTGTGCTGTCCGCACCCGAAGCAGCGTGCAAAATTACGACGTTCGAGGTGTAGACGAAGTGTTATCAATCGTGGGCTGATACCAGTTGGCTCTCCCATCAAATGGCCATATAGGTTGTCATCATCATCATTATACACGTTAGCTAGAGGTGGAACACCTCAGTTACTGTGCTGCAATACGTAAAAAAGGAGAAAAACGCAACAGATGCAAGCCAGCTGAGCTACCGGTAACGGACGCGCACCGTTCCGGTAAGCTAACAGCCGGTTACTATGCAGCAGAAAAAATAATTACTATGCAAAATTATAAAAGGCTAAATAGTGAGATCGCGATTGGAAGGGGAGGCTAAGAGGGATGAGATGGGACAAAGAAACTCACAACACAAACGCCACTGAGGTCGGCTCCTTGCCATATCAACAAGTGTATCCAGTCAAACGTGTTCATCGTCCTTTGCACCCCAACCAGGGAACCGAGACGCTCCAACAGAGGCCAGCTTCGAAGTGAGGGCCTTCGTTGCTCTCAACCAAGTCATCGCTTGGCCACCCCTCCTCTTCTTCCATCCACACCTCCGGCGCGCAAACAACGCACGTCGCGGGAGTCGGTGGGCTGGCATGCGTAACATGTGGCAAAACCAACGGAGCTTGGTGTGTGAAATAACGGTGCTGACCGGTTCAGTTCCTTTTCATGTGCGGCAAACAAGGCGTCGAACACGATCGTCGCCTACTCGTGTTCCCAACAGATGTGTGCTACATTGCGAAGGTACCGGTAGTCGAAGGTAACTAGCCTCCCTATGTCCACTGATCTAAGAAGCCAGTTTTCACAACCCTACAGTAGGATCGAAGGTATCGCTGTATTGTATCCTCCACTCTTCAGGGCGAGAGTGATGCCGCGCCGGCGCCATAAGTGGCGAAGGTTAGCAAAAGCGCCTCAAGCTTTTGCTATACCGTCCATGATCTCATCTTCGATCCCAAGGGCGCTGATACAACTTCCCAGGTAGTCGCATTTCTGATCGATCTCTAGCTGATCCCCACCAATGATCAGCGCAGGAGGCGATCCATGCCCATCTTGGCGGAACGCTTTGTATTTCCATGGTGCAGAGCAAAGCCAGAAGCGGCTGACAACCAGTGCTAATCTGTCCAGCGCGGCTTGGCACGTCTGGGAGCTGTCACAGATCAGGGCAATATCATCAGCATACTCTAAGTCAAGAAGTCGTTCTCCTGAGAGCAGATCCACACCTTCAAAGTCGTGTCCTGTGAACGCGATTTCCATGAATTCGTCAACAGCGAAGTTGAAGAGGAAAGTTGATAGCGAGCATCCTTGTCTCACACCGCTGGAGATATTAAAGGGCGACGAGGGTTTGCCGTAAGCCCTCACTCTGCCTGAGCTACGCGCGTATAATGATCGGATAATATTTACATATTTCTCAGGCACACCTTTCCTGAGTAGACAGTCCCAAATTGCACATCGATCAACCGAATCGAATGCACCTTTCATATCGAGGAACACAACTACGGTGGGCCGCCAATATATATGACGGTGCTCCAATAACTGACGCCAAGTGAAAATGTGGTCAATGCAGCCACGACCTCGACGAAATCCGGCTTGCTCTTCACGAATCTGGCTTTCACGAGTGCCAGTTAGTCTGTGAAAGATGGCAGATGCAAACAATTTGGAGGCGGTGGGGATCAGACTGATTCCTCTATGGTTGCCGCACTCCGATCGTGAGCCTCCTTTGAAAATGGAGACTATGACGGAGCGGATCCAGTCGGTGGGAACAGTCTCCTGCTCCCACAGTTTCACTAGTAACTCGTATAAATCATTTACAAGAGCAGAGTTCCCGAAGATGAAGAAGGCTGGAGGAAGATCATCTGGTTCTTCGGCTTTGATCAACTTCAACAGTCCGATCTCACGTTCGACTTCTGAGCGAGAGGGCGAATCCAAAGGGACAGCCGACGGAGCAGGGCGATCGCTGGTCGGTGAGAAACCTAACAATTTCGACTGATTAAACTGTTTTTCAAAATGCTCAGCCCAAAGCTCTAAACGTTTTGACAAATTGTGGATAGGCTATCCATCCTCATCACGTATGGTTTTACTAACACCAGGTCCCCTGCTGCCCGTTTCCCGTATCAGACGGAATAACCTCCGATGCTTACCAAGGGCAGCGGCCATTTCCATCTCTGAAGCACGATGAGACCACCAAGATTCGCGGTCTTTCTTCAGGCTAGCACGGAGTTTTGCCCGGAGCTCTTTGAAAATTTCATTGTGTTCACTTCCAGCCGGAATATGCCGGTGAGCATCGATAAGTTCTAGGGACTGCGAAGAGACCCAATGTCCACGTTGGCGATTAGACTTACGACATGAGGATTTTCCTGCTGCTATTAAGGTCTGATGAATATGAGAGCAGTGACCATCAATCGTCTCCATTGAGCGCTTACTCAACTCGCATGTCAGCGTACTTTGATAAGCATTAAGAACAGGTGGCTTCGTCAGTTGGCAAATGTCGACGCGCTCACAGCGTCGTCTTGGGCGTCCGCCAAAACGCATCCGCATGTCAGCACATACAAGTGCATGGTCGTTGTCCACACATGTGCTCCAAATCGAGCGACAGTTCTGGATGCAGCCTCTCCAGCGGTAACTGATTGCAATGTGACTGATTTGTGTCCAAGGCTGGTGGGCGCCAAAATACCCTCCGACGGGTGCTGTGTGGGAAGTTAACGCTCGCAAGAAACAAGCGGGCATCCTCACACAAATGCACTAACCGCTCACCGTTATTAGTACGGGAGCCTACGCCATGTTGGCCGCCCAGATGCAGCTCATCTGTGGATAATTTTCCAACTTGAGCGTTCAGATCCCCAGCCAGCACAACAGTGTCCGTGCTTCTTCTGTGGGGAAGGAGCTAGGTCAGTTGGCGGTAGAAGTCATTTATTATCGAATCATCGCTACAGTTTGTGGGCGCGTAGACAGCGATGATGAGTAAACAGCTATTCGTCCCGCGCGACTTCTAAGCTTTGAACGTGCCAGCCAATCGGATCGCACGCATCCTGCGACTGATTGAAATCCATTCAACCAGAGTAGCTTCAGCCCGGGGACTCAGGGCAATGCCAACACCAGCTTGGCCGATGCTTGAAGCTGCATCGTCACTGGATAGGTGCAATGAGAAAGTGCTGCTGGTGTCACCTGAAGGGGATCGCAGTGAGCACTGAGCTCGCGTCTTGCAGGCGGGTTTCCGATAAGCAGCAGGTATCGATCGATAGAGTCTCTAAGGTTTGGGCAAGTGCTGCCTGTTGACCGATCTGTAGTAATGTGCGTACATTGAGGCATGCCAATCTGAAGGATGATAGAGGGCTCCAAATGAAAGTCGATGAACTGGGCTCGACCGCTTGGTTGGACATCGGCTCGTTGACAGGGCAAGAATGACTCTCCGTGTTCACTTGCGTTGAAACTACAAAGTAAAAGCCTATCAAAGCAAGGTAGGAGAAAGTCAAGAATTCGGGGTTTGAAAACAGGGGGATAACGGTGAAGTTGGAACGGGATCATAGAGGAGAAAAAGCGTAAGAGGAGGAATAAGAAGACGGGAAGGTTAGAGCAGTGGCATCCAAACCCCTATCGATGCAGCAGATAGGGCACTGTTGATTATCCTCTGCGGTGGCCAGAGCATCAGCAGTTTGTTTGAAGAGAAACTCATAGTATTGCGTGGGCAGGATACTGTCAGATTGCCCAGGCCTAGACAGAACGATTAGGGTTCTCAACCAAAGCCTTTGGTTGAGCTACAAGGAGTCTGTTTTAAGGAATAGGGAGCCACCTCATTCCAAACCTCAACCTGGAGGACCAGGTGGGTGAGTTTGTCTGGCTTCTAACCATTGACTAATGTGGTATGAGTGGCTCTGAAGGTGCAAAGAAGCACCACTCAGTATAGCTCAATGGATCTCTGAAGCACGCAAACCATCTCAAACAGTTAAAGTCCAGCCTCATTGCGATGGCATATAGGTGATCGGATAGCACGAATCCGCCCCCACGTTCATGTGGTGTTGTGGCGGCAAACGCCTGTGATATTATTGCGCGCATTCTTTGATCATTCGTGACCGTTCAATTAGAAAATGCTTTCAGCCGCCTTAGGCGTGTTTCACCCAAAACGTAACAATACATGTGATTTATTTATACAGCTAACACAATCCTGCGTTTGCGGATGATTACCGACTGTGTGCTTTGGGTAACATAGCCGATGAAACAATTTCGTCAGAAGCACGTTGATTTTCAAGCCACATGTATACGTGCTTCAAGTCGAATAATAAAACACAAAGGAGAAACTTAAGGAAACAGACCAGAGGAACTTGAAACTGCCCAGGTAAAGATACAAAATGTGAGGCGCGTATGCTCGAGAATCCCGACTGAAAACTTTACAGCTGTGGGAGTGAATGGGGGGGGGGACAAGTATACAATAGAAGTGGATTATAGCAGTTTTGTAAGACTCACACGAACTGTGTTCAGGTGACAGCTATGCTCCGCATCGGGTTCGCATAGGATCTGCAGCACACCCAGGGGAGAGGCCAATTTGAGTCGGTCTACCTCTGGTAAAAGAGAAACCAAAGATAGTTTGTAGTCATCGAACCAACGCGTAAGCAGGCGCGGTAATACAGTAGTGGAGCCGCAGTGAAAAGTTCACACTAAATCATTGGAAACAGTGACGGAACGCGCAAACTGATTGAGAATGAGTAGCAGCAAGTACATTACCTAAGCCACTTCACGGTGTATGATCGTATCACCATAGAACACGTGCGACGAACGTTCGGTAAGCGAGTCAAAAGCCCTTGATCAACGTTATCCTACTCTGAGCGATGTGTTTTACCTAAGCTTGACCAAATATGGCTTACGACGCTTAAAGGTAAACCCAACGCGGTTTTTCTATATTTCACACAAAAAGTACACAGGTCTTCTACCCCACTCTCCAGTTTTACCTGGCACGAAAGCTCACCGTCGACTAGTGGCCCCACCCGCACATCGGTGAGACAGACATCCAGACTCTAACTTATCCCTTTTAGCACACCTTGGCCCTCAATACTCCAACCTGATTTTATTTGATTAAGATGCTGCTGTTCTAGTCAAACCACTGGTGAACTGGATGGTTGGAGGCCCAAATCAATCTCCCTCCTCATAACTTCCACACTTGCCGTTCGCTTGTGGAACCACTGGCGCGTTGGTAGGTTGGACACCTAAGTCCCTACAATGCGATTTTAATCTGTTTTGCCCCTACATACGTCGCTTCAGTATTGTTAGTTTAAATGAATCACCAGTGAAACAATCGATGCACCGATAAAACTGGAGCAAAGACCCAGCTTAACATCCCATTGACCTTCTTCTGGCCCGATTACCTAACTAACCCAATTTATGAGCACTGTCGATCAAGTAAGTTAGTGTTCTGCATAGTTGTTATAATTATACCACCCACTCGTCCTGAATCTAATGCACTGCGCCTACTAGTGACAAATAATGTCTGTAATATAGGTTTACAATGTATTTGCTGGAATACATTCCGTTGTTCAGCTTGCGGCAATGTGTACGAAAGCTTGTTAAAAACTAGACGGATGCCGATGTATGTCTTATATACATGAAGCTTACTGTTATGCCAAACCGACACGAAACAAAATGGGATGTGGAAGCGCGGATGAAATCTTTCGAGAGAATACCCGCATGGAAGCAGGTCCCCATGAGTCGGTTCCACGGATAGCCGTATTAATTATGTTATGCTTTTTTGGTAACCACTTTCATCCTACTTTTAAACGCTCCTTTTTTACTATACCAATTGAGCTCCCCATAAACCTGATTTTGAATTGTTCCGCAAAATCTGAAATAACATCTGCATTTTCAGATCATGTTGTACCATATGAGCAGCCCAAGTAGTTGGAATGTAACTCACACGGTCGAGAAATATACATTCCTCAGCTCACTGCAACATCAGCTTTAAACAAGTTCTATCTTAAATTCAAAATGTTCCTACAGATTCCTTAGGTAATGGTTGATTTACAATCCAATACATACATTACATTTCTTCTCATTACAACTTTCGGGAAGCTGTGTGTGATGAGGTGATAACTATCAACGAGCGGAGCATTTTCGCGGGAAATACCCGATTGATACCACGGAGTAAACAGGACCGCGAGTTCTCGTTATTGATGCCGGATCAAGGTAAAATAACAGTTCCGAATAGAATCTGCGAGTAATGATAGGACCAGGTTCAATGGACTGTCTCGCATATTTATGAATTATATTAGTGTATTAGCTGTATTACCTTTAATATAACGCAAGAGTAGTTTGCGTTTGATACACATGGAAAAATTCGGGAATCTGGCGTTGTGAAATATGATCGATGCGGCTGCAACTAGGGCAGAAATCAGCCTCTTCCTCTTGCTGTTGTGGACATGCTGCGAAGTATGATGGACACCACAAGCTTGCAAAAGACGGGGACCAAGCTTAGACCCACGCAGTTGGAGCACATTGTGCACAGGCCATTCTTGAAAATGGGGACGACTACTGACTCACTACATTAAGCTGCAATCTCATCTTTCCATCAGATTTTTGAGAACAAAGCGGTGAGTTCTCGAACCAACAAACAGCCTCCATCTCTAAATGGAGCAATAAATCATCAGCGACGGGTTCATTATAACGCTTCAGGCGGCCTAGTAAGTGCCGAATTTCATGGTGAGAGGATCGGTGGAGATAGACCACTCAGCACCAGTGCGCGCTTCAGAGGGGGCAGATGGATCTGCTACCAGTAGCACCAGGAGCCAAAAGTTACAGCCCTACGCCCAATAATCGTTGGAAGTTAGTGATTATGGAAACATCTTCTTCACGCATATTTTCACTTGCACAGGATCAGACAACTTCGGTGACTCGGATGAGATGGACAAGAATGTCCGAATTAGCAAATGGATGAGCAAATTCTATCTCTCTAGCCCGTTCGCAGCACCAAGTTTCATTGTTCCTTTGTAGACTCCTGTGCAGGTATCGATCCAGGGATGGGCGCTCTTCACTACCACTGGTGTCTGTCAGGACCGAGCAGCACCTGTCCATCAGCGACACGGATCCAGCTTTTCGGCAGATGACAGGCAACTCCACAAAGGTAAACACTGGCAGAAACTAAGGCGTCATTCATGCGCACCCAAAAAGAATTCAGACCAAATTCACATGAGGCAAACAGTGCTGACAGAGACCGTATTTGGCTAACGTCGCAGTATATATATATATATATATATATATATATATATATATATATGAATATATAATATGTAGTACAGATATTGAGCCATCGGAATTATGGCTGAATAGGAAAACAGTATAAATAATAAGAAAAAATACAACAGAAACAACAACAACAACAAAAGGTCTTTTTGTAAAGTTTGCCCCTCACAGGTTTTGAATATTTTTGAGTGCATTTTATGGAGAGGAAGGGGAAAACGTAACACACTGTGACTGCTCACAAACGTGCCAAGGGGCACTGGGTAGATCAGCACTGGCTCTCTGTCACGTCGGGCTCTGATTTGCACCCTCGAAGTGCAAAGCGTTTCTCCAACATTGGCAGGGATCGCCTCCTGCGCTGACCATTGGTGGGATCAGCTAGAAATCGTTCAAAAATTCAACTACCTGGGAAGTTGCATCAGTGCCCTTGGGATCGAAGATGAGATCATGAACCGTATAGCAAAAGCTCGAGGTGCTTTTGCTTGTCTTCGTCACTTATGGCGGCGGCGCAACTTCACTCTTGCCCTGAAGGGTAGAGTGTACAATGCAGCGGTACGTTCGACCCTACTGTACGGTTATGAATCCTGGCCCCTTAAAGGAGCGGACCTGAAAAGGCTAGTTACCTTCGATCACCGGTGCCTTCGCAATTTAGCACACATCTGGTGGGAATACTGAGTAGGCGACGATCGTGTTCGACGCCTTGTTTACGGCACAGGAAAAGGAACTGAACCGCTCAGCACCGTTATTTCACGCACCAAGCTCCGTTGGCTTGGCCACATGTTACGCATGCCAGCCCACCGACTCCCGCGACGTGCGTTGTTTGCGCGCCGGAGGTGTGGATGGAAGAAGAGGAGGGGTGGCCAAGCGATGACTTGGTTGAGAGTAACGAAGGCCCTCACTTCGAAGCTGGCCTCTGTTGGAGCGTCTCGGCTCCCTGGTTGGGGTCCAAAGGACGATGAACACGTTTGACTGGATACACTTGTTGATATGGCTAGGAGCCGACCTCAGTGGCGTTCGTGCTGTGAATTTCTTTGCCCCACCCAATTCCTCTTAGCCTCCCCTTCCAATCGCGATCTCACTATTTAGCCTTTTATAATTTTGCATAGTAAATTATTTTTTCTGCTGCATAGTAACCGGCTGTTAGCTTACCGGAACGATGCGCGTCCGTTACCGGTAGCTCAGCTGGCTTGCATCTGTTGCGTTTTTCTCCTTTTTTATGTATTGCAGCACAGTAGCTGAGGTGTTCCACCTCTAGCTAACGTGTATAATGATGATGATGACAACCTATATGGCCACTTGATGGGAGAGCCAACTGGTATCAGCCCACGATTGATAACACTTCGTCTACACCTCGAACGTCGTAATTTTGCACGCTGCTTCGGGTGCGGACAGCACACCGGCTACGGAGATCATGCATATATGTCGCCATCACTTCGACTGTCTCTTGAACAACCGTTACGGGATTGACTAGGCTATGTTGCACGGGCTGCAACATCAAGAGATGAAAATGTGTCTTGCCGACACACGGACACTGGATGAGACGCAGACAGCACTTAATCAGCTGCGAAACGGCAAGTGCGCCGGTTCCGACAGGATTCCGCCGTGTGCTGAAAATTGGCAGATGCGCGATTCTTCATGCGTTGCACCACTCGATGAAACATGTGTGCTTTGAAGATCATGTGACAGCTGAGCTGAAGAATGTCCTTTTTGCTTAACCTGTACAAGGGAGAAGGGAGCAAGCAATATGCCACGAATTATTGTGGCACCAACCTGCTAAGTGGTGATCGCCCGAATTCTACTCAACCGCCTCATCAATGCGGATTGCTTTCGGGTCGCAGCACGACGGCTCATTAACGACAGAAAAAATGCAGAGAGCGACACTTGCCGTTGTACTCCCTGTTTGTAGACTTCATCAAGGCGTCTGATACGGTGTTTTGCGAGGCACTGTGACTAGTGTTTGATAAGTTTGGTTGTCCGGGTAAGGTTGTAAGTTTAATTGCACCTCTGCACAGTGGTGTGCCGGCCTGTGTGCAGCTGAGTGCACGAACCTCGGATGATTTTGGTGTTATCTCAGGTTGGAAGCAAGACTGTATCTTAGCTTCTTCTCTGTTTAAGATTTACCTTCATGCAGTGCTGTTCTTTTATTGCTGCTTGTGATTACGATGTCCGTGTGAAACGCCGTATTGATGAAAAATTACTGAACATCCTTCGGTTCTGAGCGAGACCAAATGTATGGGACAACCATCCGTCAGTTGTTGTTTGCCGACTACTCCGCTTTATTTGCACACAGCGCTGATGAGTTGCAGCACATCACTAGTGCTTTGGCTTCGACAGC